AGAGAGAGAGAGAGAGAGAGAGAGAGAGAGAGAGAGAGAGAGAGAGAGAGAGAGAGAAAGAGAAAGAGAGAGAGAGAGAGAGAGAACTTTGTATAAAGGTTTATAAAAATAGAACCGAAATAATATTTACATGTACAGGTATGATGACATAATAGTGTTGTTATAATGACTGTAAGGTGTTGTAGAAGGAAAATAATAATAATAATAATAATAATAATAATAATAATAATAATAATAATAAAAATAAAAATTCAAAAAGAAATTCATTTGCAATTAATGGGCAACTTCTGAATCTAAACCCACAACTAATTGAATCTCTCTACTACTTTTGAAAATATAACAATATTGGAATACAAGATTATTGTGTTTTGGAAATTCAAAGCTATTTTTTTATATTTTGACCCTTCCTAATGAAAAATTGGTGACTAATGTTTCCGTCACAAAGTGGAATATAAAATCTATAAATATCACTTTCTATTTTTCTATTAAATAATGTCCAAAACCAACTACAGATTTAAGACATTTGTAATTTATTTCTATGTTATTCCTCACAAAGTGGTGACCAGCAACATGGAGGAAACTTGCTTTCACTTTCAACTTCCATAGTGGTTGAATTCCAAATAGCTATTAATTAGAGAAGATCTAGAAAATAATGCAAAAAAATAATTAGAAGTAACATTCAATGGGGTGTATGCAAGTATATGATTTTATTTTATTGATTGGTTTCTTATTTTCAAACAATAATTGTTGATGCTACTAATATTTATATTATTGTAATATTAATTCAACTGTATAAATAAACATAGTATATAAGCATAATAATCATTTTGAGAACATACACACACACACACACACACACACACACACACAAACACAGAAAGAGCAAGCGGGGGTCTGTGCTGGGAATTAGAATACAAATTTAAAACCATTAATACAATTATATTTTTAACAGAAGCTCTAGATACAGAATATAAAAGATTACATGCTATGTTATTAGCAATAACAATTTATTACATTTTACAAAAAATATATACACTGTACAATGTTTTATTTAATTAACAAAGGTGAAAATTTTAGTCACTAGATCTATCTTAACAGTCATAAAATATTATTTTAAAACCTTATTTGGATGCCAATGAAGTGGTCTTATTATTGTCAGGAGAACACAACTTATTTATTATAATATATAGAAATTTCATCAAAGCAGTAATTTCTAACTAGTATACACCATTACTATTTATGTACATCATGTATTGGCAAAGACACTTTGTAGTGCTACTCTTGAAGAGAAAGAAGGACCATTTTAATTCTTTATAAAAGATGTAAATCAAAATGACATGTTTTTCTATAAACATCTATTTAGAACGTAATGTTTAATAACATTTGATATTTTAAAGATGAATACACTTTATTCTTTAAAATGTCATTGTATTATATTTGTTAAATAATTTATTTTTTAAAGTACATTATTTACTGCTAATACTTTGAAATATGGAAAATAAATAATTGTAATAAAGGCATATATATCAGTCCAATTCCAAATTCTAATGAATCACTCAGGAATGTTGAGACAATAAGACAATTCAATATTTCAAATTCAAACTGAATAAAGTTAGAGAAAGGTGATTATTAAATTCCAACTTAAAAGTCATACAGATAATGATTAGCCTACAATTCTAACAATGCAGTTTATGTGTTATGAATTTATTTTTAAATGTGTTCCTTTTACAAAAGAATATTTTACAGTAGGTCATTCGGCATGACAAAACAGTTAATAAAAGGAGCATACATATTGCAAAAGCATTTAATATTCAATTTTTAATTTCCTGATACTTTGTTTTATATTTTGCTGTAGATTCATCTAATTATGTACAGTATATTCCTTATGTTATGATGACATATATGCACACATGTAAAAATCTGTCTTGGTGTACATGTTCTGTCTCTGTTTATTGTGATTCTTTAGCATCATGGATAACAATTATTTCAATAAACCCCAGAGCTTTAATAATAGCTTTCATGATAACTCCTTTCATTATTCCCTTCTGTGCATAGCTAAAATATTTTACATCAATTTATTTTTGCTGTATATTCCAGTATGTTTCTGAAATAAGGTGGATGGAGAACATAACTTTCTCCTTATTTTAATTAGTGTCACATGAGTGGCAATTCCTTCAGCTTATCCTTATACTATATCTCTTATACTTATTTCCCCAATTCAAATCTCTACTTTTAAAACAATTATTTTAAAAAGCATATAATAGAAATTGAATGTGATGAGGCAGATTTAAATTCACATATTTTCTTGTCATGGAATGGTTCTTCTTTTTATGGCTTGGATCTTTTACAACTAAAATGAAACTAAATCTTAAGTACTTCTTCCACGGCTATTCATGTCTTGCAAAAGAGTCCATAAAAGCTTTTTTTCCCTTCACAAATGGAAACATGAGAATTGTTATACAGTTTTCCATCTGACAGTTAAAACTTTTATTGCATGCTTTTGTGCAAAAAAACACAGTAGGGACGGAATCAAACAGGGTGTGTGGGAATCGGCAAGATATCTAAATGACCTGATCTTCCCAAAACAAAGAATAGCTTTCTTCAGAGCGAGATTTAACATTCTTCCTTCAGCACTCCTCTAGGGCAAGTATAAGAGAACACCAATAGCAGAATGGGTTTGTATATGTGGTAAAGGAGAAGTGGAAGATAATTCACTATTCTATTATACTGCGAGCTATACAGAGCTTGTAGGTCTGCACATATTCTCCTGTTATTAGAGAGATTGCCAGGGAGGGCGGACACTTTTTAGCTAGGCTTTCTCCTCCAGGATACTAACCCGGTTACCACGTATACAGTGGGAAAGTTCTGTGCTGCTGCAATGTCCATAAGAAAAAAATTGGCTACAGAAGTATAGTTGCCATCTTGTACCAATTATCTGGACATATCTCTAACAATCTTTGGACCATTGTATTTATCCCTATACTTAATGGTGTTGTGCCCAGGTAAACCAGGGAGTGACCCGAACAATCTGAGAACATGTATGTTATTTTCCACTTTTAATGTCAATACTTTTTAATTATATTTTAATGTCAGTACTTTTTAACATATTGTAAAAACTAATGTGTATTGCTGGTATTTGACCATAATAAAGATTTATACTTATACTTTTTTGCAAAAGTTAAAAAAACAGCAAAATATGAATTTTTAAAATCTAACTTTTACTGCTAAAATTTGTGCAAAGAAGTGGCATTATTTCATTTTATCATTTATCTTTC